ATCATTGCAATCTACCATCAGGTCATCAAGAATCAGCTCATTCTACAAAATAGTTACTTTCCATTTATTTTCCTATGAGATAACTTGAAGCAGTGAGTTTAATATTCTGCAGATTGATTGAGGACTTTGGAGTGTAATTCCCAGTTTTCTGCAGAAACTATTTTTTTTATTAGATCCCTTTTCATTTCTTAGTATTTGTATCCATTCCTCTTTGATTGTTTTTTAAAGTGAAGCTTTCTTACTCTCATGAAGTTCAACTTTTACCTATATGATTGATTATAAAAATACAGATACATCTTTTCACATTTATTTATTTTTTTTGCTATATTACTGAAACACAAACTTTCATAGTTCCACCTGGCTGTCTGTGTTTCTATATACAGAAGCTTCCTATAAACTGAAAAATGAGTTTCAGCTTTCTCAGAAAAAAAGCAAATAAATATTTGTACTTTATCTTTCCAGCTGAGCCAGCTTACTCCCAAATTCCTGAAGATCAACCTTCCCACCCCCTCAGCCAGCCTCAGTCACCTCCTCCATATTCAGATGCACTTGAACATCTACCCTTCAACCCGTCTTATGAACCACAGCTGTGAGCTGAGGCCTGCTGGTCTGGTGAAAGCGAACTTGTTAGACTTTTTAGACTCATGTTGTGTAAATAGGGAAACTCACTGTAAGATGTCATTTTAGTATAGAATGTGATGTAAATGCCATTTTTAAATGTGTAAACTGTTATAAAAAGAGCTTCAGTTCTGACCATTTTATGGCTGTTTGTCATTTCAGTTAATATTTTGTGCTCAAGGTGGATTTTTTTTAAGAGAGCAATCAAATAAATACATGAAAGCATACAAAAAACTCAAAACGCACATACATTACTAACCCAAAACTTCAAGTTTTGAATGTTATAGTCATGTTGAATGGCACTGGATTAATGTTATATTATCAAAATAATTAAAGCATGTCACTTTCAAACCAAAGAGAAACAAAAATCTGTTTTCTTTTTTAAACATCTGTTTTAAACTCACACGGTGTTATGAAGCTTGTTAGCTGATGCTGCCTTTATGACTTTATTCAAACCATGATTTTGATCTTGTTTACCCACATGGCTTCTAAAAGTTTAAAATAATAAACACTTAATCTCATTTTTTTCAATCAATAAAATCTGCCACTAGAGGGCGCCTCTGACCCACTTTTTTATTTAACTATAAACAATATGTACACTTATTACTTGTGTTTTCTATGTATATTCCTCAACTTTAACAACTATAATGTATACCTTAATGTATTATGTATACTAATGTATTATTATATGTAAACTGTATACTAATTTTATGGGATGATTTTATTGATAATAAACAATCATAAATTACACAAGTGCGTTAAAAGTCTTTAGAGTTTATAAAATGGAGTACAAAAAACTTCATCAATCCATTCCTGAAATGCAACCAAATCAAACATAAATTGCTAAAACACAGAGAACCAATGAAAATTTTAACACAAAACAATGAAAATGAAAATAAGATAGTGTTGTGCTTAATGTGTATGGAGGACTTTTAATAAAGCATTAGGAAAAGAAAATGCTTTGTAAATTTATTTGACAAAGTCTTGCTCTAAAGTTACATTAGGGTTAATAACAAGTTTACTGAATGTGATATTACCGACCCAACAAAACCACTGGACTGAGTTTAGCCTCTTCCTGTGGGACTGCATGTGGTCACATAGCAGGAGTGGGTGTGTTTGTACCTCATCCCATAATAACCAGCCCCGCTCATTATAGCACTGTCCATTAATCAATACAGTAATAGTGCTGACTGCAGCTATCTTGGTTATCAAAGTAATGGGAGGGGCTAAAAAAGGAAAAATGACCCTGACTGTACCACTGCTGCCGTCTAAAACAAGTCCTCTCCTTGAAGTGCAGCTCAGACTGCTAATGAGCACAGAGATGCAACTGTAGCAGAAAATCTTTACTGGGAGTCATAGATGCAGGGATTTTCCTTTTATTGTCTTTTTCTTCCCGTTTTCCTTTCTTCTAGTTCTGCTTCTGTCTATGCTTTGTTCTGTCTGCAGGCATTCTCGTCTGGCCTGCAGCCCAAGCAGCCATTATGATATTTTCAGCCTTTTATCCTTCCTTCCCTTTTCTTTTATTTTTACCCTCTTGTCGATGGAGTCCTTCAGGTATTTGTGCCTCAAAGTAGAGGTCCTCAGCTCATAAATAACAGGCAGTAGACATGCTGTGACATTGGATATGTGTAACAGATTTACCAGCATCCTCCACGGTTTGTTTGTGCACCAGTGTATATGGAATAAGTATCATATGCTGTGAAGGCACCACTGATGCTGAATGGTAGTAAAATGCATTCTGAGCAACACATCTTCCATTCATATGATAATTTTAAAGGAAAAGCTTTGTGTATTTTTGCAAGTCCAGTTAAAGTGAAGTAAAATGCAAGAAACTAAAATCATATTTCAAGCACTAATGGAATAACTTTACATTCAAACCTTATTGAACCAAATCAGAATTGGTGTGTTAGTAGCTCATCCCCATCATATTTTATGAGCACTAATAGATAGTGCTTATTTAAAATTTGACTAATTATTTATCAGAAGTCAACCCTGCTTGTCTATTAGCAAAAAATCTTATGAACCACATGCAGGACGGATATTAATGAAACTTTCAGAATAAAATCACTGGATGTACATCAGTAACTAATTAACTTTTGGAGTCAACTCACTTCAAGTTGGATGCAACAGCCAATCACCGATGGCCAACACAAAAACAGCTAACAGACATTGAGCTATTTTTTTGGATGCGGTAGTACAAAATCTGAATTACTTGCAGGATTGTGCATAACATTATATTCATAAGCTATGACTTTCATTTTTCAACACATGTCTGGGATGAAAGACGGTGGGCGATTCCTTTAAGGAATGCTAAGCCTTCATTTTATTTCGTTTTATTTTATGGTACAAAACATACGAAAGTAAAACAATGGCAAACATGTCAACTGTTTGAAAACAGCATTAAACAGAAAATTTGCCTAAATTTTTTGGTACTATTACAATACTTTTATAACTGTAACACTTTATAGAATATTCCAACTTTTGCAAGAAGCTTTTAGGATTTCTCTCATGTAAATTAAAATGTTTAATCCATCTTTAGCTAAACTATTTAATCACCTGACATATATTTTGTTTAAAACAATTAGTTTTTGACCTTCACATGTTTGCATGCTAATGCTATGATTAACATAGCTTTCAATGTGAGCATGATGATGAGCTGACACAGAGAGCACAGCCCAACACACATGTAGAGTTTGAAAACTGACCTCTAAAAGAAGTGCATGTGAACAGGTGCTGCGAAAACGCGCCTTTTTAAAACCCCAAAAGGGCAGCAGAACAATGTTTGACACCAGAAACTGCTTCATGAAGCCAAAACACAAGAATAATTCACTGTCCCTCTGCAAACCCCCTGTTGTACTGATGATGATGTCCAGAGACACTAATCTGAAACATATTCTCATTGCACAGGTTTAGCAAACTCTTTTCCTTTTGCTGCAGAACATTCAGACATGAAAATCCCACAGATAAATTTAGCCACCTCCAGGTTGCTTGAACTTAAATTAGCTACAATTTGCAACATCTTCAAATAGAACAAAAAGCTCTTACACAGACAATATGAGGAGGAACTTATCAAGAACTTTCCCTGTTGCTCGAAAAGAAAGGAGAGAAATCAAAACCACTGTACAAAAAGCAGAAAAAAATCATTTTAACAAAAGGGCAAAAGTCAAAATTCTGGAGGAGAGTTTAAGATCCAAATTTCAATGTAAAAGTTCAAATATTACCAAATATGCTGGTAACTAACAAGGGGAAGGACAGGACTATAAATACCCTGGGATTAATGGGACCCGGCGTGAGCACAATGAAATAATCAAAGCAGACCAAACTTCGCATCGACTAAAACAGAACTTGTACAAAGCAAAGAGAAAATCTCTTCAAAAATAAAACTCAAAACTGACGTTAAAACTATTAAAACAACTTCTGCTTGAAAAAAGACAAAGTTCAATGTAAATAACCGTGTTGCTGTTTTTTTCCTTCAAAGTTCCTCTACGATATGGCATGATTAAAAAAAAAAAAATCTTACATTTATCAAAAAAATATTGACCTTACACTGAGCACTTTTTTTTTTACTAGCACTGATCAAAACAACTTTAGAACAGGAGCTCCTGACAAGCGTCTCACCTGTTTGTGTGAGAGGAGTGCAGCTGTTAGTGTGAACTTTACTGTGTCAAACAGGTGAGATGTCACACTGACAGCTGCTCTCAGATCAGCTGGTTAAAAGCACCACAGTCTCCTTTTTCCCTCACTGTCCAGCTCTGCCCCCTGGACTCTTACCCCCCCCCCCCCCCCTCCACATACACACACACACCAACCTCACTCCGTCTCTCCTCAGTGTCCGCTTCCTGTCCAGACCTCTGCTGGTCTTTTTCACATATCCAGCATTACCAGACAGTTAATAAACAGTTCTAATACGCTTTTTTTCTTTCCTCCTGTCTCCGTGTGCTCCTCGTACAGGCTGTAGCTCTGACACAGCCATGAGTGTAAGAAGAAACTTTAAAAAAGTTCAACCAATGAGAACTAGAGAAATTGCATTTCCTGTGAAAATGCAGTGTGAATTCTTGTTGCAGAATAACTTGCTGAAAAACATGAAATTTGCTAAAAACATGAAATGTGGCTGAAATGGATGAACAAGCCTAGGTTAGCAGAATAAATCAAAAGGAACCCATATTTGCTGAATTAGGTTTAACTAAGCAGAAATGAGCACACAAATTAGGAAATTATCTAAAACAGCTGAAATGAGCAAAACAATAGTTGAAAGTAGCTGAAAAAGCCGAAAGAAGCTTAATCCACTAAGAGGAAAGAGCTGAAATGAGCTCCAAGAATATGGAATTAGCTGAAAAGGCTAAATTTAGCACAAAACAGCTAAACAGTAGCTGAAATAGCAGAAAAAGGTGAAACTAGCAGAAATAAGCTGAAAGGAGCATAACAAGCTGACATCAGCAGAAAGAGGCTGAAAGTAGCAGCAATTACCACAAAAATCTTGAATTTATCTGAAAAGAGCTGAAAGTAGCTAAAATGCTAAAAAAGGTAGCTGAAAAGGTAGAATAAGCTTAAATTATCAGAAGAAAACAGAAAGAACCCATTTGCTGAAAGAAGCAGAAATGAGCATAAAATAGTGGAAATCTGAAAAAAGATGAAATTAGCAAAAAAAAAAAAAAAAGAAACAGCTGAAAAACAGCTAGAAAAGCAGAAAGAAGCTTAAATTACTAGGAAGTGGAACACATTTTTTCTGAATTAGGCTGAAAAAAGTTGAAATGAGTGCAAAAAGTGTGGAATTAGCTGAAAAGCTTACATTAGCATTAAAAAAACAGCTATATAGTAGCTGAAATACTAGAAATAGCTGAAAATTGCAGAAAGAAGCTGAAAGAATCACAACAAGCTGAAATTAGCCAAAGAAGCACAAAAATGTAGTTAGCAAAAATAATCTGAAACGAGCACAAAACTGCTGAAAAACATCTGAAATTAGCTGAAAATAAGTTTAAATTTGCACAAGGAAGCTGAAAGAAGCTGAACCAGAACAAAATGCGAAGGGAGCAGTAAAAAGGTTGTAAACAGATCTAAAGATTTGAAGGATGCAAAATGAGCTCAGTTCATTTTCTTTGAAAAAAAAAAAAAAATAGTGGCAGAAAAGGCTAAATATCTCAAAAAGCTAAAGTTGCACCAATACCAATAGACAAAGCACCCTTCTCCTGAAAGAGCTGAATGTTTTGATTTATGATTTGTCTTAAAAAGTGCAGGACGAGAAAGATGCCAAAAAATGTACGGAAGAAAAATGGATCACAATTGTGTGAATGTTTATGAAACACTCACACAATAAGATGATGAGCTTTGTTGTCATCATACAACCTTATATTCTGTTGGTATGCAGTACTCCCATTTTTCAACATTTTTTGGCAACTTAAAAGTCTGTAATAATGTTTCCTGCTACTAGAAGTAAGATGTCACAGCTTTTATTGTGGAAACAAAGCCTTCCATTTCTTTTATTTGCTGACTTTTTGACCTTCTGGACTGTGACTCAGTTGTTCCCCTTTATGTCTCTCAGTTGCACCAAGCACCTGCAGCAAAAGGAGGCGTCTGGATCGTGTGAACTCAGCAGATAAAACAGTCTTCTTGCCCTCCTGCCTTCTGTTCAGTAGCCTCCCAAGTATCCTGACAACCTCGCCTGGCATTTTGGCTCTAGTCCCCTGAGTGTTGATGTCAGCTGAGTGAGAGGAGGGAGGGAATGAGGGTGGAGGGCATGAAAGAGAGAGAGACAGAGAGAGAGAGAGAGAGAGGAGGGGTAGGAGTGAGCGGGCTATTCAAGGCACTTGTCCTCTTGTCTCCCATAGAGCATAGAGGAGGGGGAGGCGCAGCACATACATTGAGAGAAACACACTTGCACACACACACATAGTAGTAGCAGCCACATTTTCACAGCCTGCTCTGCAGACTGACAGCAGCACACGGAGCTGTGAGGCAGCACCACTAAAGGAGAAACAAGGAACATCTACAGAGCAGAGGAGAGAAAGGGAGAGCTAAACAGGATTTGCTGCATTTTTCTCTTTTATCCGCTCTAGGGGCCCTAAAAGGAATCTCCCCTGTGCTCTGTTGAACTGAACTTGCTCTGCTGGAGGACCTGCACTCCGCTATGGCAGCCTTGATGGGACATGGAAACACATTTCCCCTCTCATCTCCCTCCTCTCATCTTTGGACTTTCTTCTTTGGGGCTGTGTTCACTCTCTTCAGTCAAGTCTTGTGCTTCAACCTGGACACGACTCACACACTCCACAAGTTAGGAGACCGGGGCACCTTTTTTGGTTTCTCTGTGGCACTTCACCAGCAGCTCAACCCAGAGTCTCAGAGCTGGTGAGTGGCTCCTGAAGCACTAAGTTTGTCCTGTGTGACCTGGTGTTTGTTTTCTTGTATCTGCACCTGTCTCCCCCCCACCCCATGCACAAAATTCCCCTCAATACTGTGGAAGTGAGCTGTGTCCAGCCAGTGTTTCTGGGCGGCATCAGTGCCTGAATTGTCAAATCATCTTTGCAAGTTTTGAGCTAAACGAGAACAAACAGACGAGATTTGATTTCCCTTTAACAATTTAGGAAGAGATTTTTTCTGGAAACAGATGCAGATTCTGGACAGTCAGTCACAGTTAGAGGAGGTGTGATAGTGAAGTTCCTCTCGTGTGCTTGGCTGTTTGTGCAGCTCTTTTCCAGTTAGCTAGAAATCATGCTTGTAAATCTTTTAAAGTGTTTGCAGCAGGACCATAAACCATGAAGACCATGAAGCGTGGGCATTAATGTAGTAAAAATGGATGCAGATATCTCTTCTGATTTGCTGGTACTGTATACAGTACCATGGATTGCTGTGTAGTATAGTTTATAAACGTAAATAGATTTTGTTTGGTAGGGTCAAATATTAATACATCTTTGTACGGATTTTGCATTTTATGTGCTTTTTAAATTCCCAGAACTTTTTGGTTACACGCTAAAAACTGCTGGGTTTGTTTGTTAACTTGATTGCAGGGTTAAAGCTAAATGTTTGGGTCAGAGATGATTCGTGTCAGTCTTCACAGTCGGCCATTTTAAACCAGACGTTGACCAAGCTGGACCTGGCTGGACCTCTGCTTTAGGGGTGTAATAAGTAAAGGAAGGTTGACTTTCCTTATAACTTTAGTTTGCACTGGACAGTGAGTTTAGCTTCCTAAAATAACATGATGGTGATGCAAATACCTTATTTTTCATACATAAGGCGCACCAGATTATAAGGCAGGTTAAGTGAAACCAAGACATTTTGACAGATTTTTGAGCACCGTGTACATAAAATCAGTTTGAGGCCAATAAGCACAACCAGAATTAATATATAAGGCTCACTGTTGATTTTTGAGAACATTCAAGGATTTTAAGTGCGCCTTATAGTCCAGAAAATACGGTAGCCATTAGCCTCAGCTAGTAAGCACAAACTCAAAGAGTAAATAACTTATTCTTTTAAACTCATCTTTGTTTTAACCTAATTTTGTGAGTTAAAAACTTAACGTAGTCCGATAAACTGATATTCCAACGTCACTTCCCAGGGTTGGCTCGAATCAAATTTGACCCAGCGCTTTGTTACAAGGAGTTTTAGAAGAAGCTGACAATTAATTAAAACTATAAGTTTATCAGACTTCAAAAAATATTAACATTTTTTTTAATTTCTTCTTTTATGTTTTCAGTTTTAGTTCAAAACACATTGATTCTGTTTTAAATGAAGTACATCATAAGGTTAAAGTGAATACAAGTCTAAAAACAAAGGATTTAGAATGAAGGTATTTATGAAGTAAAGGACTCTTGTTTTAGTGCTCCATATTTAACCGTTGGCTGCTCGGTTTACCCGTGCAGGAGTCGTCCTGACGCCTGCTGAGTCCGAGGGCAATGACATCAGCCAGAGTCATGTCACCCCTCTGAAAACCTTCCCAGCAGCAGGGCTCAAACTTATTTTAAAAACCGACTTTAATAATAAAGTATTGTGTTGCTCACTGCCCTGCAGTAAGCAGGAGGAATGACTCTGGAGAAACTGAGCCTCCGTGGTGTTTGTGCCAGGAGACGATCAATAAACGTCTGAATTGAAAGGCTGATGTGATGATGCACCAAATAGAGAGAAGCGGCATGAATAATGCTTCATGCTCACTGTGACACCAACTTCACATTTCACTTACTTATGAAGCATCTCTGATCAGAACTGAGACTGACAACATTTCAGAAATACAGTGCTGTTTCTTGTACAAAGTAGAAAATCATAATTTAAATATATTTTACTGATATTTTTAAGTTTTGTGACCATTTACTTTTATACAGTTTTTATAGAAAAGTATTCATTTTAAAGGGTTTTCTCTAAGGAATGGGTTGGATTATCTTTATTTCATTCAAAAAGAAAAAGAAAATTGAAACCACAGCAGTTTTGTATGCTTCATTCATATGAACTCAAATACACTTTACATTATATGGTTGTTGTTGACTGAAGTATTATTCTGAGTGGGTTTTATTTTTATTTCAGGTAAACACTGGCGTAAACTCGGTATAGAACAACACTTGACCTTGAATAATTCCCATGTACTTTTACTGAGATCACTTGTCTAATGCATTTTAAACTTGTTATATATTTATATTGTGTGCTGTGAGGCAGAAGGCAGGAATAAAAAAAATCTGTATGTTTGTGTTTATGTTCTCCCTGTGCACTTATGAGTTTTGTGTATATACTCCAATTTTCTCCCATGGACCAAAATCATGCATGTTAGGTTAACTGGTAGTTCTAAAACATGTCCCTATAGTGTGAGTGAGAACTGTTGCTTGTCTCATTTGTCTCTCTATGTGTCCCTGTGGTGGACTGGAGACCTGTCCGGGCTGTCACAGTGACTGCTGGATATGGGCAGCAGCTCTCACACAACCCGGAAAGGAAAAAATGGATAAGAAAATGGTTGAATAAGAAAATTCTTTAAGTTATTGAGTAATTGGCAAACAGTCAATTTGAAACAGAGTAAAATATTTTGCAATGTTGTTAAACACAGTGTAGGTCCAAAGTTGTCCAAATTAAATATCAAAATATGCTGTTTAAGTATACACTCGACAACATCTGTGTGCATTTTGTGATGCAGAAACTCTTGGCACGACTTACACATATTTATGGAGTTAATGGAAACTCTTCTTGCTACCTGGCAATGATATCAGTGTTACCAAAGAAATCAAAATTAATTTGGCAGCACACATTAGAAAATGACACAGGAGTGGATTTTCACTCCTGTCCTGTCCTGGTCCCACAGAAAAAATCCTGTCCTGTCCCACTCCTGGTAACATGATTCCTGCTCCCATCCTGCTCCCATTCAGAATGACTCCCACTTCTTTACCGCTCCTGTTTATTTATTTATTTTTTCCTTTCCATTTAGTCTTTAGGAAATACATTGAATTTGATTTAATCTTCTACCCATTCCTTTTTATATTACTTTGTGTTTAACACATTACATACTGGAGAACTCAAGTCTGGTATTCCAGAATGAAATTTGAAAGAAAACTACAAAATAGCGCCTGTTCAAAGTTTATTTCATTTTATTTTATTTTTGTCCTATTTGTTGATTCCCGCTCCTGTCTGGTCCTGTTAAATTTTCATCCTGTCCCATCCCATTCCTGTGAGTTGACTCCTGTCCTGCCGGAATCCTGCGGGAATCCCATGACTCGCAGGTTTCCTGAAAAAATGTCATCCTCTAGCACACACCCCCTTCTTCAAAACAAATATGAAGTGAAGAAGTTTAAGGCTGAATATGTAGGTATGAAATCCATCCATCCATCCATCCATCCATCCATCCATCCATCCATCCATCCATCCATCCATCCATCCATCCATCCATCCATCCATCCATCCATCCATCCATCATCTTTACCCGCTTCTTTCTTCTTGGGTCATGGGGGTCACTGGTGCCCATATCCAGCTATCACTGTGCGAGAGGTGCGAGACACCCTGGACAGGTCTTGGATTTGAACTGGTGACCTTCTTGCTTAGTGGCAGCAGCTCTATCAACTGTGCCACCATGCCACCTAGGTATGAAATCTCCCTGCTAAATACATTTTGTTGAATATAATAAATAAACACCCCCTACATCAGCTTTATTTTGGTTTCTGGTCACAAGCACAACGTTCTCTACATGTCAGAAGTTTAAAATTCTTTGAGATGACTTCATTAAACTTACACTCATTCAGACAGCAGCATGGCAGCGGTTCTTCCTGAATAATCCGTTTCCGTTCAGCTGTACGCCTGTAGGGCTGCGGTGGTCAGAGTCTAAAGCTGTGCTTTGAGTTCAGGTTGTGTCAGGAAGGTGTAAAACAGTTTGCCATATTTTCCATGTGAGTGCAGGAGAGAGCAGTTGAAAGAAAAACAACAGTTTTCAGCTTCATGACCGTCTCGTCTCAGTGTAGCTGCTGGTGTTACTTTGATTGATGGATAAACCGTCTCAGAACAATCTGCTTGTAATTAAACGCTCTTGACTCATTTTCTTTTTTGTATCAGGCACGTTTGGGTTACTGCTGCCCGTGGCCATTCTGTTTCATGCTCATTGTGTGTTTTATGTCACCTGATTCTGTCGTGAATTTGATATTGCTGCTTTGATGCTCTGTTCTGTGCTTTTTATGATAGGATCACATGACCTGTGATGAAAAAAAAGTCTAATAGACCTCAGCTCAGTCATGTTATCATCCCAGGAGTGGAACTGTGCTTGTTGTCTACCGACAGCATGGCCTCCCCTCTCAGTTTTGCTTTACATCTTTATGTGGCCTCCTCAGACTCTACAGCTCGTTTGGCCACAAAGGTAAACACAAATCCAAGCACTGCAGCGATCCTGTTTTCAGTGTAAGAAGATCCTGTTCTGTGTCATGTCTGGAGGAAATAGACACATGTCACCCCCTGAGAGCGTCCATCTGTCATCCCAGACCTGTAAACCTTTAACGTTTTTTTATCTTGGTTGTTGTGAAGCAGAACCACCCGAGCTTTAGCTGATAGGCCTTCATCCTCTGCTGGTGATGCCAGACTGAGGATAAGATGAGATGGTATTTGAGTCTGAGTTATGTGTTTGTCAGCTATTTATAATGACATGAGAAGTGCTTCAGCTTCTAGCTCACAGACTGGTGAGGACAGGGAGCCTCATAAGCCTGTTCCATCGGCTTATATTGTTTTGAAAATTCATCTGCTCCACCAAAGTTAAGTCAGGTCCTCTGGACGGTTTCTTTTTTTTTTACATTTTGTCCTTCATCCAAAGGACTTCATCAGTCAAAACAAACTCAGTCCCATAAATGGCTTACTCACATACTGTAGTGGGCCAACCAGTTTTACGTTCATCAGATGGT